GCGGAGTCATATGTTTTACGTATATTTGCAGACATTACATTTTTGGCGCGTAAGGTAACAGAAAACATTACTTATTCAAAATATAGTGAAATATTTTATTTGATTATATTTAACTTTGTTACTCTGAATTAAAATTTAAAATCAGTTTGCAGTATTTATAAATTAATCGGAAGTAACATCTGTGTTGGGAAATTCCCTCACTTCGAAAAGTTTAAAATAGGTTAATACTGAATGTTGATATTGTTACAATTTAAGAATATTGAAAACAACTTGAAACAGTCCAAACGCTTACGAAAATTTGCTAACATAGACACGAACAACCACACGTTTAAAAAACGTTCACTGCAAGATTTTTCTTTGGATATCCTACGATTAACGTACACTAATAGGATTATAATAATGTTTTCTTAAAATCAAAACAAGTTGTTAACTTTATTACAATTCACAAATCTAAAGTACATTTTATTGAAATTGTTTGCTATGAATGAAATTACAAAATATTCTGACGCCTACAATCTAAACGTTCCAATACGGGACTTCAATTTTGAGAATTTTCAAACTTTGTAGAACAAGAATATTTCTTCATTGATAACATTCTTTTAGAAACATTTGTAACTATTTCTATCCCTTGCACTTTTTTTAAAAAAGAACACATAGAAGCAGACTGATCAAAGATAAATAACATCGCTTCTGCTTGGGCAATTCCCAGCGGATCTTTCGTAGCATCGAAGATTTGCAATTTGCGATCCCGCTGCCATCACCCTCCACCAAAATGTGGAAAACAAAAAGAGAACGCAGAAGACTAAAATAAACAAACATTAAATGTCAGAGTCATGTATGACAGAGAACTGTTCAAAATATTGACTCAGTGACGCTTTAATGGTTTATAGTTGGACGAAAGAAAATATCAATCCTATGCGAATATAAAATGGCTAATATGTATTCTAAAAACTAGTTTGTACACGCGATTATTTGTTGACAGTTCTGTAATAACATGTCATATTAACAGCCACCCAAAAATTGTTGTAAGACCGAAAGACTTAACACATGTTCCTCTACGTATGCCGACACGCTGACCACGCACCATCACCTTCCGAAAAACACGAAAAACCACAGTGAAATTTACAATTTCATGGTAGTTCTTCGCGATTAAAAACCTGAAGGGTGATGTCGCAATTCTGGTTTCAGATTCGGACTCAGCGCGTCGACATACATAGAGTAACATCCAACAAACAAAGTATTTGACAACTTTTTTGTGTGCCTGTGTAATTACAGTTAGTACGATTAGAAAAAATTATTTAGAATATAAAAAGACAAAACTTCTAAGGCAATTTATTTTACTATTAACACACAGGAACGAAATATTTCGTTTAGTTAAAGGTCAAGTGCTATTTCTCATTAATAATTTCTGAGTAGTAATTTACGGCCGAAATTCATTAGAATGACCATTTAGACTTTATTTTAGCTTTTTACCTGTAAATTCTCCACTAATCCACTAAATCCACTAATTTTATAAAACAAGATTAACTTATTTACCTACATACAAAAAAAATTAACAAGCTTTTAAACACACCATCTCAACTGCTATTTCCCACCGAGGGCTCAGCAGTTTCTCACTCACTTCTCAGAAAAGCAATTACGTTTGCACTGATGTTTGTCGTTGCTACCACGAAAATATGTTTAAATAATTAATTGGAAGTGTGTCAACTTGTTACAATCTTATTTCATATTCGGTAATACAAGTAGAATATATAGTATATATGTAGTACGATCCTCGCACGAAAGTTTGACTCCGTTTGAATAGGGGTCAATAATAAACCTCGGAAAGAAATAGTAGCGTTACATACACAATATTTCATTGTAAGGCCATCTTACTCTCTTTATGGGGAACAAGCTTCCACTCTCTCTCCTTTCCTATTTTTTCGGATTGACGATCCACCCCATTTTGGGGGAAAGAACATATTGATACTACATTTAAAGAATCCTCTGGGTTGATAGGTATAAGATCTTACGATCTTGGGGTTTGGCCTTGAGAATTAGTAAACCAGAAATTACTGAATAATAATACTGAAACTTTTACTGACCAAAAATCCTTTTATAATCTGTATTATCTTTATCGAATACCCACCAAGAGAGAAATGAATACCTTACAAAAACGCTTGCTTTCTCCAAGAGTAATATAAAAATACGTACACTAATATACCACAAAAATCATAATAGTGTAAACAAAAAATTGCCAGAAATAAAATTACACTTTACTATACAACCTAAGTCGAGGATCCCACTAAACTACTATCCGCTTAGTTTTGAGTACCATGTAATTTTAAAGCTTTCCCTTTATTTTGGAGTCCCAAATTGAATTTAACCATTAATGCAATAAAAAAGCTGCGCTGTTGTGGTTTCCGCTGTGTAGCTTTACATTCGTAATACACGTTTACAGCTATTTGTATTCCAAAAAATAAACATTACAATCCCCTTGTATAAATATTATTTACGAAACACTAAACCAGTCACGACTATTTACATTGATACAATCAAAATAGATGACAGATTTCCTTTGTATATACCTAATATAATTGTCTTAATTTTTAACAATACTTCACGAACGCTACTCTTTTGTCCGCCTGTCGTGAACCGTTTCCTAAGCACGCTCTCCCCCTGCTAACGACCTTGAGAACTTTTACCGTTTCCTCCACACCTGATACTCGCCTCAAGAATTTTGAACCTAAGCCTGCTGCCAGGTTACTGAACGCAGTTTCTGATTCCATAACTTCTTACCATTTTAAAAGTTAAATAACTTGGTCAATTGAGAAGCACTAAGAATTCCTGGCACGTTTAGTGACACGAGAACTGGTAAGCTACAGAAATGTCTTTCACGTGGAGCTTACGCTGTAAATGTCTCAACACGTACCACTCTTAGAAGGAAATTGACTTTTGAACCTTCATTATACTCTTATTGAGGTTTTCTCGCTGTAGATTGTTATCTCGCTCTTCTCTCAGCTACAATCGGAACAAAGTTTGCTCTTCAGTTTTCGATGCTAGAAGTTACAGATTTTATATCAATAATTTTCGATTCAAATGTTAATCATAAGCTCCATTCCATTGTAATTGTAAAATTCAATACTAGTTCAATAGTTAGATAAGCTAAAAGAAAACCCTTTAATTTGCACAACTGTAATTTGCCTACTATTCTCGTCTTCTGAACGTGTTGTTTCATTGCTTATTACGATTTTCATACCATTTCAAAATAATGAATCACGAATTACATTATATATCAAAAAATATTTACCTCTTATTTTAAGCAGTATCGATTTTAACTTTGGAACGATTCCTTTTGTGGATTAGCAGAATGTTGCGTTGCACACCTCTGATCTCCAGCCAGCAACCTTTCTCACTTGTGACCTTCCGGACAGCAAACGAAAGTCCGCACCGATCAGTTATCGCCGCAACGATTCTCTTCTCAACTGCAGAGAGTTCGATGTTTTCTTGTTTCATAACTTGACTTGACGGGTTATTTAATGTAGCAGAGATGTATTCCCTCTCATATCATTTATTATGATGTAATATCTATTGCACAAAATCGGAAACTGGAATTATTCTGAACTTACGTGTACTTGATTGGCAAAAATAAATAACATTTATTCCTCATAATCGGCCAGATAAACGTTTTGTCAATTCTTTGACTTACGATCTTTCTACCTAAAACTCTAATACAAAAGGAAGAACGGGAATGAATATGAGTAAACGGCGTCTGGTACGAAAAACCACGTTTGCGACAGCAGAGCGCTCAACGCCCTTGCGACTGCGTCTCCAGTACGTCAGCGGCGGCGCAGCGCGTGCGCCGCGCAGCTGGCGGCGTTTGACCTAACACCGAGATTACAGCGGTATTAGCTGCGCGACGACAAACTGCTACGCCGGCTCTGCGGCCACGGGCTGCACCGCGCTGCCGCCACCCGCACCACACCCGCTCACCCACTGCCACCGTTGGGCCGTTTTTGTTGCCCGCATCCCGCCGCCCACCGCCATCACCACCGCACCGACCCGCCCCGCCCCGCCCCTCCCGCTCTGCCGACACTGACGCCCCACTCCTACTAAAAACAACCACCTACTCCCACCGGACCCTACCACGCGCCCTCCTCCGCCACCGCCCCACCATCTTCAATACGTCCGCACCGTACACCATTCCCCGCCCAGTCCCCCTTTTTACCACCATTCACCCCAACTACTTATCGCATCGCCTCCTAGCACCTTCACATCCGCCGTCTCGACCGTCACGACCGCCGTCACGACCGCCGTCACGACCCCGTCACGACCGCCGTCACGACTACGTAAACGACCGCCGTCCAAACTTAACTCACGACCAACGTTCACGACAGCCACACCACAACTACACAAGCTGGCCCTAAGCTGCCAGTCAATGCCTCAATCACCACAGCGTGCTCCACTACCTAACCACCCCCTCCCCTACTTCACCGATCGCCGCCTTCGCTCACCTTCCCACGAACCCACCTTCCCTTGCTACGAACACCACCGCCAGTGCCGCAGCCTGCTGCACCCGGCCGTTCGCCCTTATCGACAAAGGCGCATTGCTGCGCCGGGATAGAGCGCCGGCGGCCAGATGGCGGCCAGCAGAGGCGAGCGCCTGAGCTCCGAATTGCCAATCGACGCAACAATCTCGCTCGCCGGCCGGTTGGCCGATGTGAGCTAACCCTCATCGGCAGGGCGCACCCATTTATATGTACCGTATTGCTAGGCAAAATTTAGATCCAATCCCGTTGAAGACGTGGGAGACACTAGAAACACTGATTTATAGAGTATGAGTCCGTTCAACCCCAAATGTGATGATCATTTTGTTTTCTCAGTTTCTTTAATGCTTGTTGAATCATATACATTATAAACACACTACATACGCCATAACACGCAGGAAATAACTGTGTGGTCATCATTATGTTGACTACGAATTACTTCATGAAAGCTGTAGTGTCTTAATTACTAAAGAATTATTGAAATCCTGCTCGATTGTAACTATCTAAATGAAAATAAAACTATAGCATTTCAATGAATATGTTGTTACCCAGTTTTTGATTTACGCTCGTCATCATATTGTTTTTCACAAAAGCACAATTGGCGTAATATGTATGGTATAAATATAACCAGCTTTTATATTAATTTTATTGGAGAAGTATTACTTTGAAGCGATCCAAGGTACAACTCGTTGACTAGGTTCAAACTACAACACTTGGTCTTATAAATATTGCAATGCGGTATTTTTTGGTTTGGTTAAATCTTGATTTAAACTCATGACTTGGTTAGAAAAGGAAACTAAATACTAGCAAAATACATTCAATAAGTAAAAAAGTAGTTTTATTTTTTCCCTGTAAAATTCTCCATATTTCATCAACTAAAACAAATTAATCTGTGCTTCTACTGGCAAGTAAACAAACTACTGCAAGTGGTTTCAAACTAACTCAATTACAAAATTGTCTTGACCTCGAAGTGGCTAGAGCTGTATTTACAAAACTCGCGAGTAACGATCACTTCACATGATTTTGGCTACCAATGTTAGGGGTTACTTCTTTCAAGTATTTCTAGCTTCCAAAATCTTAATTTCTATTAAATTAAAACTATTTAATGACGTTCTGAAAAATGGTTGTTTGAAAGAGAAGAAAGGATTCTAAGAAACGTTTGAGTATCCAAGTCTTAGAACCACTATTGTGTCGCCTAAACTTCTCTTCATCTCAGCATAAATTACGTTAAGGAAAGACAAAGGTTTCGTAGGATTTATAATATTGCATCAACCCAAAAGCCAGTAAATCTGCTATAACTTGACAGGAAAACCTAAGGATGCATTAAACATATTTAAGAAGATAAATTACAAGTTTATTATATCATTCTTCAATGATTCAATAGGCGCACACGCAACACACTACATGCATTTCACTGTAAACAGACGTTATCATCATTATATATTATTTATAAAACGTGTTATGTTAACATCCCTTTTTCGGATAAACTAATAAATCTATATCAACAAATAAGGTGTTTCTTGAATGCTAGAAGCCCCCGACGACTGCACGTGTAACTAAAATGCTTGCATGTCCTACACAAATATTAATAGTGTACTCATTTTAAATGTCCATTTCAATCTGGCGGAGAGGTAAGCAACCAGTTCTGGCGGTACCATGTAAGGAAAATCGCAGCACCTATTTTATGTTTAGTGTTAGATTGCGCAGTTCTGTGGACTATGAAGTTGCAAATACGTTATTCAGTGTGTGTTTCTACTACATTTGTGCAGAGATAATTTATTATTTTTCTCTCTGGATAGATGAATTGGATTTATCCACTTTTTCGTTACCAGGACACTGTAATAAGCGTTTTTCCGGCGCGAATTCGCCGGTTTTTTTCTGCGTAGCATTACATACAATTCTCTCTACTTCGTAGCGATAAAGCTAAAATATAATTTCCAAGTATAAAACCCTGAGATAATAAAACCCGTTAGAGGTAATGTACGACTTGCTTGAGCATCATTATTCTATTTGCTCAAACGCCTATGGTTCAATCTTGAGAACAATTTCACAATCAAGATTCGCTAGAAGGGCGCAGCTACTAATTGCTTTCTACCCGCGCGGCGACCCGTCTTCAGACATTCATCTCTTGCCGCCACTTCTAGGACTCACTCACATGCCCCTCCAGCGCGCATCTGAGTATTGAAAGGAAGAAACACAAATATGCAATAAAGTCATTTACGCAGTGTCTTCGCGCGGGCTTCCCTCTCACGGCTTCGTCCCCTCCACTGAAGCACGTGTGAAATTCACCCAAATCTAAAAGATAATAAATCAATTGAAAGGGCTTTTAACGAACTCTCGTTGAGCCTCTGTCCGTCAAGAGTACTGATCGCCGCCCCCGGCGACGCCCCAACAGCCGGAGAAGTGTCATTAGCAAAGGGTTGGGTCCTTCACCCCGGTGCGCGGCTACTAACTAGTCGAATCCGGCATCTCCTGTACAGCGGTGACCAACACTCTTCTTCCAGGGACAGGCGGGTTACAGCCACAGAAAGTGGGGCAATAACAGGTGTGTAATGTCCTTATATGTTCTGGGCAATACGCGCGCTACACTGAAGGTATCGACGTGTGTTTTGTTTTCTCGAGAGGGCCGGGTAACCCGTTGAAACTCCTTCGTGCTAGGGATTGGGGCTTGAAATTATTCCCCACCGAGGAATGCCTAGTAAGCGGGGTCGTCAGGTATTTACACCCTCGTTTCTTTCACTACCTGCCAGCTACCGCCAGATGTATACAATCATTTCCATGAAATTGCTACTTGCCACCGTCGCCAATACGACACCAAAACCATCTCGCCGACAAAGTAATGCACTTCCGCAATGCGGACGCACCCTCGGGGCCGCTCCCACCTTCTCTTAACCGGCATGCTGGATGTAGGGTTCAGATGATAACCAAACATCGAATATTGAATATGGCATGCCGCCATTTTGGGCACCTCACGTGTCGCCCCCGCCAATGTCACGTGACGCCCCGTCCCGGGGCTCGAAGACGCTTCCAACAAATAGGAAGCCGACCGCTGGCACTTATCACCTCATTGCCTCACCATGGATTCGCGGTCAATGTCACGTGACTCTCCCCACCATGGGCTCAATAACAACACTAACATTAAATACAGCAACGTGTCTCCCACGCGACAGCCTACCTCGGACACAACTGCCAAACTATACACTCAATATTCACTTGTCGATACTACTCGTACAATTACTAAGACTACAATGAGAACAACTCAAGTTTCTGTTCCATACTCAAAGAGCCCCAAATTCACTACTTCTGCTCAGACCTACTAGCAGAACTAACACACGCAAAATGCAACTCACTTGAGAACTTAGGCATCAGCCAATAACTGGGTAAGACACAAACGACTATTATTGACTCATCTGTCAATACACCTGACGAGTGTATAAATACTCGCTCCACTGGCAGACAGCCTGCGAACGAGTCGGCTGCTCTTGCTTCGCCTAACCGAGGCTTCGCCAATCAACCAAGATCTACATTAAGGCAACTTGCGAGCAACAGCCGTCACCTGGCCGAATTTACGACAAACTAAGCAACAGGGCAGCTCTAGTCTCAACTGAGCCGTGCCATCCACTTCGTATCGCCGTATTGCCTGGAGCCTACCTCAGCTCCGACAGCATCCACACACACTCAGCCGTCTGATTTGGGTTGGTGCTTGCGGTACAACAAACTCTTGGTAAAGTGAACTTGAACTTGAAGAAAGAACAACCATAAATTTATATACTTTCATTGGTTCTCCAGCTTACTACAAGCTCACTAAAATAAACTACTTATACAGAGCAAATATTAAACTTCAATTGTAACAGATATAATCTGGTTTTCACTTGCGGTTACCCTAAAGGGAAACAATCCCCTGGAACCTGTTCTGATTCGCTATGTGGTCGCACTCGCTACAAGGCACCGCCTACTGTGTTGCATCTGCTACAGCCATAGTGGCCACTGTCAGTTATTAGACGCTCAAGTGTTGGCGTACTGTTGTTTACGTTAATGAGGAAATGCGACATTCAATGGCATGATAAAAGAGTTGCGCAGTACGCAATGGAAATTGTACGAGCCCAGAGAAGAAATAAAGAAAATAATAAACCAAAAACTATAATAGAGCACATTTAAGGTAGATATTAATTTGATTTGTCGAATAAAATTACATCTGTTGCGGTATTAGTTCAAATGAAACAGAAAACTTGCCAATGAACTTTTATTACGTACAATTTAAATTAGTACACAAATACGAAAATGAATACGCCTGAAGGTGACATCTGAGCATTTCTGTGTTTAGCTTGACAATTTTAGGAAATTTATTATGCACAGTACCGTCCTTGTGTATTTCATGTAAAAAGCAGTAAAAATTGTATATGATGTTAGGAAGGGAGCGAAGAGACAGTGTTCCGAAACGAAGTAGCGGATCAGCTTACCATTATCTCAAAGAATCAAGGAAAACTGATTTTGAAAAAGAATGGTCGAGGTGAAGGAATTAAGCCGGATGCTCATTACAATCGTCTTAACACTTATTACATATTTTAAAGTTACAAAATATCATAGATAATTAATGCATTCGATTATTATTATTATTATTATTATTATTATTATTAATTACTATTATTCTCATTAAATTATGTATGCCTGTTTGTTATATAGCACAAATTAGGGTCTGGACGTTTGAAGTGGGGTTCTAGTTTTATACTTCAACATGTTTTATTTAATTTCATTAAATTCCTATTTACGAAAACTATATAAGATTACTTTTCAAACTGTAAAAATGTTGAAATATCTAAATGCATTCAAAAACTCTTAAAATGGTTTGAATGCAGCAATTTTTTTTTGCAAATATAAGAATATTCCATGCAACCGATAGGGCCTTATAGGTTGTGACATAAAATTCCTTAGGATTTGCTTGTCTGTCCTTCTGATATATGCGGTGATGTCATTTCTCCAAAAAGAAAATTCTGCAGCCGCTCAATTCCATGAGTAAAAATAGGTACAACGTGTGTCACTTAAGACGCAATACACATGGTTTGTGCAGAGGAATCAGAATCAGCAGGTTGGCCACGACGTAATGCTAAGTGGGTCTTTTCCCCAGTCATCGATTTAGCACACTCTATTCGTAAAGTCAAACTAAATACATTTTGCGGAGTTTTTACAAATTTTTGGCATCTTTAAACTCATTTCTTTTCATTGGCACACTTACTAGTTTGCCAGAACGTGGTACCACGCACGACTTTTCATAACGGGACCACTTTAAAAGATCCGAAGGCGATTCTGAATTACGCAAACGCAAAAGAATTAAACAATCTCTCCCGATCCTGAAGACATTATTATTATTATTATTATTATTATTATTATTATTATTATTATTATTATTATTATTATTAATACTATTACTATTATTATTAATTTTGCTGTACACATCTTAATAAATCACCTTACAGATCTAGATTGTCTATTATAATTCTCCTTTACCAAGTGTAGTACAAGATCTAGTTCGTAATGGATAGGGATATGCATGCAATAGCTCAAGAATTCATGCACAGATAGCACATTTCAAAATTCATAGTTTCTATACAATTATCGATGTCCTTCAAGTGAATATTTTAACATTGACATGATATCTACGGTTTTCAATTTTGTTAAAACATTAAGAAATTAAAGACATTAAACTATCTAGAATGCAAAACATCGTGTTTCGTTGAATTCACACTTATATCTGAAGATACATTTTTTGCTAGCATATGACATTTTCCCTATTCTCAAATTCTTTTCCAGCAATATTCAACTTCTACCTTTTGACCCGTTCACCTCCACGATGTTTTGCTCTTCTTTTCTTAAAATCTGTGTCTATGGATAAAATATTCAAATAATTGTAACAGAAACTATACTGTTTAATAATAACTTTACCCCTTGACAGGTAAAAGCTCTCTTATTTAATAACAAAGCCATCTTTTGGCTCGGTTAGCAACGAATACACACAGAATTCTACGTTGCGCCTGAGATGAGCAATGTACGATATCGTATAGAATCAATGTATAGTAAAAGATCAGTTTCGGAAAAAAATAGCCTTTGCAAGGTAAACTCTTCAATTGTTGACCAAATAAGAAACATTTAAAAAGAGATCTGAAGTCAGGACGGTTACAAGTAACTTAATTAAAATACGAAGAACAAAAGCTAACTATATATCAAAATTTTTAGCAATATATAGCTACAATAGTACCGAGATAATTGGAAAACGTTTTGAAAGAAATACAAGTTATAATGTATTTACGACGCAATGGATCTGTTCGCAGAGAAAAGCGCAACTGCGCTCTACGGCTATATTCGGATAGCGACGGCCGGGCGGGAGCTCAATTCAGAGGCAGCCTGCACTGTGGAGCCATTATCCGCTGGCGCGGCAGGCAACAACCTGCAGAACGGCAGGCGACGGCTGCCGCAGGCGAAGCACGGGCCATGTACCGCCCTTCTCCCTCTGCAATAGGGCGAGCGAAGGGCTGTTGCTGGGAAATGTGGATCCCTCCAACGTCCAGGTGCGGTATGAGATCTCGCCATCCGAAGAATCTGCCCAGACTGTTATCGTCAAGACTCAGTTCCACGGGATAGAATGGGCCAGTTCGGTTTGTAGAAGTGTCTGCGTGCTGGCAATAAATAACCGAGATTCTTTTCGAGTATACTGATGTAGAACTAGTTTATGTACGATGCCTTAAAATTCCATTGGTTATAAAAAATTATATTAAAGAATTGGAACCGAATTGAATTAAAATTGAATTCTTTACTTTCGTAAATGATAGAATTAGTTTCATTCAAAATACCAATTTTGATCAAATAAAAAGGTTTATTTAATTTTTACTTTCAAGCCACCCTTCTATTTACGTAGCTATGCTTTTATTGCAATAAAATAGTTATTCTACGAGATTACCAACAATACCTAAGTAATGATATATTAAATATTGATAAATAATTAGTAATGATACATAAAATAACGATTACTTTGAGTTTATTGAAGAGTATCAAATAACTTGAGTAAATCTTGTAAAAATCAGCTAATGCAGAATGCCAATATTTACTCTCTAATTAGTTTTTAAATATAATATCTTGAACTTAGTTAATTTATCAATGTTATTTATTGCAAATAATGTTGGAGTTGGGTTTGATTTACGAACTTAAAGTTTTGATGTTATTATGATGACTACCTCTAGTTAGAGACGTAATTTTATATAACATTTTGTAAACAATATTTTTCCAGTCTTCGTGTTGAAAAGACTAATTATTAAAAAATGAACATTTTTCTTCGTTAATTAATTTCAGGAAAAAATTTAGCTCTTTGAACGATACCTCAAGCGGATATACAGCCAGCAGTCGCTGTATTACATTTTATTTGCAGAGAATTCTCCGCTGCTCTTATTGATTTCGGATAATATTTGTTATCCTCCTTCCGCCGGAAATTGCACTTTTATGTACAGCAATTAATATTTGTGCAATTTCATTTTAAGGAGTTTTTTTCTAAATACACGAACGTTTGTGTCAAAAGGAAACCGCAAACGTTTGAGGTCGAATTATTCTCATTTTTCGTCGGATATTTTAATTCATTCCAAACAGATTAAAGGAAAATGCTTTAAACCCTACATCGATGTTCATTACCGCAACAGTAATTTTTCTTTCAAAATTTTATGAGAGAGAAATATACTTTTACATTCGATATCAAAGTGCCATGTTCAATGAACCTTGTTTCAGAGCCAGTAGTCGCAATAAAATACGTTAACGACAATGAAAAGGATCAATCTTTTGATTTCCATGCATTTTAATTTGATCGCGTGGATTTCATATATGAAGATTTTGAATACTACATGTATTATTTAATACTAGAAAACACTTCAAAAATAATATCTAATGACATGCGCGTCCACTAGTCATAAAAAAAAAGAACTGCTCTGTTATTTCAACCTGACCGAGAATATTTCAGATACTGATATACAAAACCTCTCGCAAAACATTAAAATATTCCTAATGTATGGCATTTATATATCAACCTTTTTCAGAGAATTACCTTTATACTTGTAAGATACAGAAATATGTTTAAGAATTCTATAATGACTGTCCATTTAAAATACGATTAACAGTTAGATTGACTCTAGGTATTATTTAAAAAATACTGTCTGGTTTCTATGTCAGACTATGACTTCATTTCCTCAATAATGACAATCCTAAGCAATCAAAATATTCCAAAAGATGAAATACATATGCTAAAAAATTCAGCAGTAGAGAAATTCGAGGCAAGTTAACTATTCGTCGAAAATTTGTGGTCACATTCAACAGTCACAAAGAAAATTGTGAAGGAACGTTCACTTTAACTTGGAAACACCTTCTGAATTAATAAAAATATTCCCCTATAATTTCGTGGTTCTTTAAATTCCCATTCCACGGTATGCACACCTTCTTTCGCAGGACAACCCCTATACGTAAACAATTCCCAACTTTCAAAACTGTATTTATATCAAATGAGAACAGAATTCCTAATACTTCCAAGGTAGGAAAGATTCAAACTATGAAAGTTAATGGAATTTTTATCGAGCGAGCTGGCAACTCTGCAAGAAGGTCCTTTAATATTTCCAATTCGCTGCTAATGTAGGGAGCTGAAGAATTTATAGAGTAATTTACAATGCTAATCGATGAACGAACTTTGACGGAAGGGGGGAGGGGGAGAAAGTTCCGTTTGATCTCTCAACGCCGAGCTGGAAACGGAATAAACGATTAGAGAAGGCCGAATTTTTCTGTGTGTGCGCTTTTTGTCCTTTCTTCTCCTTTTCTGCGCGCGCTGGTGTATTCCCGTCACGCTCCGGGCAGAGCGCGGCGCCGAGACGCGACGCGCCGCGACGCGCCGCGCCACGGTGCGGGTCTCTGCGCGAGCAGCTAATCGCGAAACGGCACTGGCGACCGGGCCGTCCGCGCCAGAGGTCGGCCGCTCGCGTTAAAGAGAGAGAGAGAGGGAGAGAGAAGAAAAAAAAGGGAGAGGCATAGACACATAGACAGTGAGACACAGAGAGTGAGACATAGAGAGTGATACATAGACAATGAGACATAGAGAGAGAAAGACATGGAGAGAGACACACAGAGAGACGTAGACATAGATAGAAGTAGATGGAGAGATGGAGAGAGATAGAGAGTTAGAGAGATAGAGAGATTCAAAGATACAGAAATACAAAGATAGAGAGTTAAAGATAGATCGGTAGATAGATACATAGATAGAGAGAGAGACAGACAGATAGACAGACAGACACACAGACAGACAGAGACAGACAGAGACAGAGACAGAGAGAGAGAGAGAGAGAGAGAGAGAGAGTACAGTGTCAGTCTAGGCTGCCTTTGTAAGTACTAGGTGTATGAACCGATTTCCCAGTCTGTTATCTAGTCCCGAAGGAAGGATTTTCAATATTAGGTTAATATCAGCTATTTGATACGTTGATATCACCCAGTGTCTGGAGAAGAATTCTAAAGGTCGGTGGCTATTATAGATTTTCCGACGGTTCTCCGATCAACACCATGAGCATGCTGCAGCAGTACCATACAGAACAATCCACGGACTACGCGAGGTCTTTCCTAGGTCTTTATTGCTCTATTCTCACTCCTTACTTACACACACGAACTTACATGCACTACACTACCACAGACATCCGTTCTATGGTACTAGTCCGGAGCTTAGAACTTGTCCTAGTTGGAGCGGGACCCCGCTGGTGGGAGATACCTGCTATGGGGAAAACTCGCAAGTCTACGTGTGGAGTGGCACCGGATCTTACCATCCAGGCAGGGAAGATCTCCGCCACCTCCCGTGATAAAACATACACTACACTATGACTAATGACGATAACAGTTGACGCTCCCGGAAAAGAAGAAAGAATCGATGAACCCAGAATCAATAAACATTCGGGTTGTTGTCTTTGTCAGACATCACTCACATGCGTCGGAACATTTCCCTATTCAATGTCCCCAGCAAAGTGTACACTGCCATGACGAATCCAGGACCCAAGTGTTGGGCATCCGGGATTAACAGTCATACAGAATACCAAGTTCCCACCCTCCTCACTGCACTTTTTACACCAATAATATGAGTCTTGCCGAGAAAACGGGCAAAAATTAAATGTTAATGTGTCGAAGATTCGAAACAGTTGAAAGATATTCAGCATTCTTCGTACATCATACGTTTAAAAGTAATACCTCCTTTCCAATAAAAAAAGAGAACGATTCGTCCTATCTTGTAAAGTTTTTCATGCTTCAAAAAGAGGATATGTCCGGGGAAAACAGGACGTGTGGTAACCTTACGCGAGAATTCCCCAGAAACTAGTTGCATTAGTTCCAAATAATTACCTAATGTCGAAAACCCATCAGTATTGACTCTAACCCATGCTCTTCCCATATAATGAGTTTGCACAGGTAAAGATGTTGCCACTGAGCTATCGTGGTTAGCTAGAACTTTCAGCAACCTCTGCTCTGAGATAGAGTCGGTCCAGGGCAGTCCATCTTTTTGTTTTGACAGATTCTGTGGTAGTTCGGCGAAGTCCTCATTGCTCCGCATTGTAGCTTTTTTTCGACCTCCAAAAGAACTAAAACGACAGTAATGTTTCAGAAGTGTCAGTTTAATGAGTGAAGTAATCTGTTAGAGCTAGTTTTCGCGAGTAAATTTCTTCGTTTCACTGTCGTCTGTAAAAAGAATATTGTAAGAAACGATACACACCATGCCTTAAGCTAATAGAGTAAGTTAAAATTAATTATCTATTAGAGAAATAAAAAGTGGCATCATCTACATTGTCTGACACTCTACAATCACAGAAAATCAAAAGTCAAGCGCAGTTTACTTTTATCACGTATTTAGTTAAACTCGCAATGCAGAAACTTTTATTTCAATAATAATCTACCTAAAAAACCTTCTGAAACAAAACAATTGAATTCCACTTTGCTTAAATTCTAGCAACATAAAAAAAGTTTCCCCTGTTAGCGAAATCGCAAAATAATAGGAAGTACCTCAGCACCAGAATATAGTTTTCAACGTTTGGCAAATGAATGGATCGGTTTTACATATCTTCTCATTGAAAATTCAAGATAGTCACCCATCCTAATAATTCTACTACTTCTTATATACAGATTCTCAGCAAACAATATGTTGGGAAGAAATGTCTGCTATCGTCCTCCTGAATGTTGTCTGAATGTTGAAAACCTGTACTGAAGATGTACAAAATAGAAATTTACTACCAAATACCTCATTTATGACTCCTACACAGAAATATGCAAATCAAAAAAAGTGGTTAAAGAAATCTTTCCTAGGAATATTATCAAGATTTATTCGGAAGTACTGCTCCAGCAAAGGTCCCCCCGCTTTTGATTTACTCGTCAATTCATCGATTCGTGTCCCTCCCCCGGAGTTTTCAACGTCCCTCCTATGGAGAAAATTGGCAATTTGCATTCTGCCGGGTCCATTATAATGGTACATCGGGAGCAAAGAGCACGTAACCGCGGCTGGATCTACCCGCAGGAGCGGAGGCAGGAGAGACTGCATTACAAAGATGGAGTGGTGTGAGGTATAATGGCTGCATACGGACCACCCATCAGAAGAGCCATTTTTTAAATTGAGGAATGTTAGGCAGTTAGTGCTTTTAAAAATGCGAATACCTGAAGCAAAGATGCGCAGAGCGTAAAACCAATAAAACTTTAATTTTCACAAAGAAATTCACATCTCACAAAGAAAGGAGTAGAGTGGTACATGCGTGCATAATAATGGTAGAGAGCTCTCGACTGGTCTTCCGACGTGTGTGATACTAAAGTGCGTGTGTGTGTGTGTGTGTGTGTGTGTGTAAGGCAGAGAAGTGGACAAAGAAGGGAATATTGCACACGGTTCGTGGTCTGTTTGTTAAGGCACTGTTCCAGTATTCACCCGATATTGATAAACTACTGAATACGTAAAAATGCAGATCGGAGCAACCAGACTCTAGAATTCTCCTCCCCACATTTGCCAAATTCAACCTAGATATCTAGCTCCTGTCAAAATTCAGGTCCGTTGGTACTCAAACTTTAGGCCCTCCCAACTAGAGCGGCAGTGGCAACGGATGTTCTCACTACGTCACTCCAGCCGGTCTTCGATTAATAATAGCCGTGTATGTGACAATTTAGTGGAGTTGCCAAACGTTTTGTTTGTGTTGCAGAATAAGAACAACTCGTGATTAACTCAACATCAAAGCAATTCATATCATCAGTATCATTACAAAATGGAAATATTAAACACTGTTAGAATACAGATAAAACTATGTTGAATGGAGCAACTCAATGGTTCATCGCCAAACGGATCAGGCAACGATGATGCCCCGCCAGCAATCAGCGTTAGCGCTAAAGAGAGCCATTTCGCAACAGCAGCTGTCAGTTAAAGAGTTTTAAGTCTTCCTTGATAAGCCCTCAGTTATATTAAAATACTCAACGCAATATGCTTGTAGAATATTGCCGTTTTGTTAGAAGCGAAGAATTAGGACAACTTGTGATTCCATATCAGACCAAAACCTCTTAGCACTATCAATATTGAATTAAAACATCTCTATGTACATCTCTCTCTGGTAAGTGAAAGAACTGATTATTATAAATTTAATTTAATAAACAATAATTAGTTCCATAATATTTTAATTTATTATAAATTTAAACTGATGGTGAATTCCTCTGGAGTTGTGTCAAGTGAGTTCATTTCACTACATCTTGCTACGCTGATACTCGTAACTGGCTGCTATTCAGCAGCTGGACGGGCAGTCGCGTCGAGGTCATCAGCTGTACACGATGCGGTGGAATAAAAGGGTTCTTTCAACACGAACATTGCGTTTAAAGACGGAAGTGATCACGAGAGAAGTTGCATTGAAAACACAGTAAAACCCAGTGTATAACACATATAGCACGACGTTTATTGTCGTCACGTTTTTCAAACCACACAATCCACACATTAATTACATACAAGGGCCGTTTGAAATATCACTTTTGTTAGATGCACGAAGAAGCATCAGTAATACAAGACTTCAATCTTAGGAGACTGGCACATGACCACTTTTTTACCGTGTACAACGTATTGATTTGAACCTTAATTATTCCCACGCCCCGCGTCGGAAATTACGCTAACTGGATCCAAATGTACGTCTGAAAATTCCCGAGCAAAATAACGACAACCAGCATTTTGGTGTTACGCACACACGATACTGAATAGAAGTTGGGGATTCGAATCAACAGAACGGTACATTCGCGGTCGTACTGCCCCAAAAGATAGCATCACTAAACATTATACATTCCTTAACATTTTATAATCCGTGCGCGACCTTCATGTCTTGCTCCACGCATACGTTTGTCTGCTGGACTGACAACGGCACATTTGAAAGTTGGGGGCCCTAAACCTTGCTACGTAGAATGTCTTTTTTATGTAGTCGCCTCGTCTGAACAATTCGTTCACTTCCACAGGTATACGCAGCCTCAAAGAAGGCGCGAGCAACTACATTTCTGGATCCCTTTATGTCAATTTTTCCATTAAACTAATATTTCATGTCATATTTTATTGGAACTAAAACTTATTTTAAGGAGAATGAAATTATTATTTTAATAATATAATTATTAAATGCAATTGATTTTATATTGAACCATTACCCAAAAGCCCGGTATCAATTTTCCAGACGTTAGCATCAAAATGTGGGAAATAGGGAAGTTATAATTTTGAAGGGAAAAAATGTGTTATTACCTAGGGCTACGACTCTTTTTCGAAACATTCACGGAATCACTGTCCCTTCCTCTGCAGACATCTATGGTGATTGTATTAATTAAAATTGTAAAAAACTTAGTCTGCCGCCTGTTCAGAGGCACAATGAACGTCTTTCGAGAACTGCAATTACGTCAAAATAGAAGAGTTTTTATGTGATGGTATGTGGCACAAGAAAGTCAATTTTTAATTTTTTGGTAAGCGAATGAGAAAAGAGTGGTGCGTCACTAGCCCAAAGGCACATGCGTGTTCAGTACATGTCGTAAAATAAGTCCTACGTGAGCAGCTGGAGCAGAGGAAAGAATATCGAACCGAAAACTATTATAATCCATGCGTTGAAAAACAATTATTGGACAACAGGAAGATGAAAACAAATCAAGAAAAAATTATCTTTCACTGATCCTACGGGTCATTGAAGCTATCGTTACGTCGGGAAATCGGCAATGCCCGGGCAGCTGCCCTCATAGGAAGACTGAGGGATACAATAATGTGTGGAAGACCAACAATAATCTAAATTTTATTATTAATGAAGCATTAAAAGAGTATCTGATACTAATTATCCGGCACGTGAATGCTAAGGCATTGTTGGAAAATTAAAAACACGCTGGTAGCCGCCGCGTCTGGAGAGTTCACCTGGACACTGTATGTTACTGTAGGTCAATATTCGACAATCTAAGGGACAATTCAAGTTTATGCTAAGCAAATGAAGAAAAAGAAGAAGAAGAAGAAGAAGAAGAAGAAGAATATTCCTCTGAACCTCGGCACAGAGATCCTCAGATTACATTGCAAATCATAAATATTTGAATATATAATTTCTGTAAAAATAATTATTTAAAAAAGTTTATTTTACTTTCAAATAAAATTAATACAGTAATACTTATGAATATGTGAGTCGTATCAAAAAGAGAAAGAGCATAACGGCCAAAGATAGGCTCAGAATAGCGTGAGAAATATATATTTTACCGGCGCGTCAAATATGTAGATTATTAATACCGAACGTATAGTGGATATTATATTCCTGGAAATGGCAGTAATCTACTCCGCAGTGCAACGTAAAATCTATACGTCTACTTGTGGATTTCTCCATCTGGAGGTGTTTTCCTCATAGAGGCGGCGCTGCTGTAGGAAAAAGCTAGACTGTTCTCCTAAAATTTCCGGTAGTACATAATGCAGTACGGAGAGATCGTGCGTGGACTGTGGTCTTTTTGAAAAGGTGCCCTTACGGCATTTGGTTGATATTAAACGGAAAAACCACAGAAAACAACCGATTAAATCATTCTACCATTTTCTCCATCCTGACTGAGTTATGTTGCTAATAATGAAACTTCGCCACTATCGGGACTGGAACCGTTTAACTGACCAGTTGTTTTACAGGCAAGTATGTTGCTAATGAGCTATTGAAAATTGTCGGAATTAAACATGGCATTCATGATCATAGTTGGTACTGAGGTGAAGATAAACCACGGAAAACTACCGATGAAAGCTGCATGTTTATTGAATTCTTCTCTAGAGATGGAAGTGTCAAAAATACGCGAGAGTGCAGACAGAAATAACTCACTCAAAGTGTAAGTATTTGAATTAAAAATATTGTTTCAAATAATATTAAATCGCACATTATTTTTAATGGTACGTACATGTATAATTACTAACCCCCAAGTATTTCAAGTTTTATAGTAACGGCATTTCTTTTATATTTGATTTCCTACATATATTCTAGTGCAATATCAGACGCAGTGACGTCAATATCCATTGTGAATACAGGAGTAATGTGGTACTCCTATATTCACAAGTCCTGCAAACCTCGTTCCGACCTCGCAAGCTCGTGTACATTGACGAAAATTCTACTCGTGATTGTGCAGCAAGAAAGTGCATCATCCAATTTCTTCACGCAACAGAGCAAAGACTCGTGTACATCAGTTTATGCAGGGAAGCTTGTTATGTCACCCGCAGAAGCAATATGCACGAGTGATTACAGAGTAGCTAAACTAAATTTCGACATACTCAAAATCTCAATCACTCGTCAATTATTGACCTATTGCTTACTTTAAGAAACAAGATTTACTGTTTATGATTCGCAGTCACCATACGGTATAAAATTCACTTAAAAAACCTACATGAGTGAATGGACACGACACGAGTATAAACCGATCAGATTCTATGAACAACTAGGAGTGGTTGACTTTGGAGTGACAAGCTGTCATTATGACATTGCCAAATGTGACCACCATTTAGTTGCTCGATTTCAAAGTTCGATATGAACGCGTTGAAGCTTGTTTATGCTTTTATTCTTTAATATTGCCTCCCTATGCGAACAGCTGCGCAAATTCACGAATGTAGGCTGGAATTTGCTTTGACTTGTAAGCATTTGCATAGATTTGTGTATGCACGTACGGCACATCTACCAGAAATGCATAAATCACGGAAATTCGACATACGCAACGCGATCGCATAATACGTGCAATATTTGCGATATTTTGTGAAAGGTTGGCATTTCTGAAACGATTTATCAAAGAGAATCTACGAGTTTCTCTCTAAAACGTCATACTCTTGAGATAGATGGTTTGAAGACTTGAGGTGAGGTTTGCTTCTTATCACCTATCAATGATCATAAATTCACCTCGAGACGCAAATATCGAACAGAAATCAAGCAAACACATAAAATAGTTATATTAATAATTAAAAATCGAGCAATACGCTAGAAAATTCAGCCTCGTCATATCAATAAAGGCATATTATTATTATTATTATTATTATTATTATTATTATTATTATTATTATTATTATACTTATAATTATAACCTCTCCCTACGTCTCATGTCGCCCACAGAGCTGCGTAGAAAATACTAGAACAACGCAGGATTTCGCAAAACAGCACTCTAACGAGCAAGGGAGGTTGTACTCCAGACTTATCTCGCTAATAAGCGCCCTTTGACACGATCCCACACAAAAGAGAATTACCCCTCTTCCTAGGATCTCCAACGAATACATGCGTTGGCTGCACGCACGCGATGGCTTGCACGTCTCTAGATGCAGACACTTTCTGGCTGCGGGCAATGCTCTACAACTGTTCCACGTATTAATCTGAACGAACATTAGTCAAGAGAACACTTTTGCGGTTTCTGTTACGTAGTGAAACTGTTGCATTTAGTTAGCGTCAAAAGCCGCTGTTGTGAAATTTTTGTTGTCGTTTTTTAAAGAGTCACTCTAGGTAAAAGAGTTAATGTGAAAGTAATGTTTAATAAAGTTTTTGTATAACAACGTCGTTTTGAGGAAATAGAAGGCGGAGACATTTCTGTAATATCCTAAGTCTCAGAGCATAAATCGTCGCTTTGAGTTTTTGATCACGCGGCGTTTAACGTAAATCCAATATGCATCTTGTGGCACGTTTATATAAAGCACAGTATAGTCCACTACACTCTATTTTGAGGTAATTAGAGACAATTCACAACAGAAGAACAAAAAGAAAGAATTGTGAAAATAAAAATAACGTTAATCGAATTAATTTACACTCATAATATCCCAAATTACATTGCAGCCTACGAATTTCATAATCAGAATAGGAAATCACGCTCGTCGCGGAAACGGGTTATGCTTGAAAAGTAAAATGCTTTAGAGAGTACGTGATATTACAATACGTATTATTTGTAAAGAGTTCGTTTGTTTCGGTGTCGTAGAAGAGTGGAATTGTGCACTCTAAAGAAGTACGAGTTGCGCTGAATTTTTATTAAAAAGAAAGAGAAATAACTACGGTGAAGCGGGAACAGAAATAATTACGCAATGTATAATAAGCAAGAGGTACGTTAATACTTACGTTTGCCTTCTACAATTTTTCTCTCTTTAAACAAAAGCGGGAGAAGCCATGCTGTAGGTTGAGGCGGTATAATGAGTTTAGAGAACGTGCCATCAACCAGAGAATGAAAAAATGCAGGCTGATATTTCAATGCGGACAACAAAACGAAAGTTATAAAACCAGAAAATTTAAAGGAAATTGCAATGAAATGAAGAAAATAATTGGTATTAGGAAGAAGGGACCTGAAGACTGGTAAAATATATTTAAATAAACTGCGTGCTGGCATGTTCCTTTGACCACGAAAAAAGATTTTAAAATTGAAATTGGTGTTATTATTAATGTCTTGCAATTAGCTTTGTATGAATTTTTAGAAGAAGTCAATACAAAACGAAAAGCTAATTTAGAAAGACATTTCAGAAAAGTAAAGATACATTTTCAGCGTTCCCCCTTAGAATATTCATTTCATTCAGCTACATTTATTTGTATAACAGAGGGAACTAAACCAAAATTATACTATGAAATAATGTGCATTAATAGTTGTCGGTTTATAAATGTTTCGGATACACTTCTTAAAAGAGAAAATAAAGAAAAGGTGTAATTATAAAAGTTCATGCTCTCCAAATGGGCTACCTGCCCGATATAAAGTCATACAGAAAGACGGGAAATACAATTTCACACCAGGAACAAAATGTTTTTTGTTCCGTGTATCAGTTAAATATTATTTGTCTGCTCATAAAATCGTCTTTGGCGGCTTTACTTTGCTTCATTACGGTTTAAAAAGTGCCACTTAAACCATGCGTTAATCTAAAACACTTGCGCGCTTCTGGGATGTGAAATTGGGTCGGAGAATTCTATCGCCGTAGAATACGCAGGTCTGAAAGACTAAGAACACACATCCACGTTTTCTTGCGGAAATGTTCAAACCAGCAACATTAGGATTGAAGCAATTAATTTTTAGATTAGTTTTTAATCTACGCATCTGTCTCTGAGACTCCTACGTACTCCACTACTTACGATTATTCTTATCTAGCAATTGCAACAGGAGTTCTTTTTTTCATGAAAGTAGTGAAATATTTTTAATTTTTAATTAGGTTACGATTTCGTTTACAGACGCGCTGAATCGACATGAAGTAGAAAAGTATCTAAGTAAACAAAAATTATCTCGACCACTTGGGTTGCAACATTATTTTCAAACGCATGACAAGAAATATATTTTCTTTTGCAAAACACATATAGCAGAGTCTTCAAACCCTTCATTATTAATGTTGAAAATAAATTTTACTTCGAGCAAAATGCTTGAAATTTTCATTATGAATGTCTTTACCAAATAGACAATTAAATTTATGTCAAAGAAATAGTATAATTCAATTCGATTCCATGTATATGCAGAAATAATTACAGTAATTCCGTTCTCCAATTGTCACCATTCTTTTACCTTATTTGATGGGCAAGTACGTACTGTTGCTCTGGGTTTATAACCACTGTGTGTACCCCAGAAGACCAATGATCGATTCTCGGCCTAGGGTGCTTAATCGTTCAAACAACCTGAGTAATTTTATTCCAAACGAACTAACTCACACGTTTTCCAATCAAACCCAATTCCTGCAGAAAGCGTCATCACGGAGACTCACCTTGCGGGAGCAGCAGTGTGAGCAGGAGCACGGCGGACGCCAACAGCGGGTAATCCTTAGCCATAGCGCCTCGGCGGTGGAGACTCAGCGGGAGCAGCTCAGCGTCGGCCGCGCAGCCCTAGAGGCCCGCCCATCGCCCACCAGAAGACCACAGGGAAGCGCTGCGAAGCCGCCCCTCGCTTCCAAGGACGAGTCGCCGCTGAGAGCTCCGATTTCACACACGGATCTGGGGTGTTAATAATGAGTTATCATGCAGCGAATGTCAAATGCTGGTTTCATTCCATGTAACGCAGGATTTGTTGGGGGCCAAAATGGGAGAACAAGATTATTTCTCTGTTGTGATGCTTCTGTATGTGTATTGAACGCACCAGTAATTAATAAAAACTGGTTGCTAATACATTTACTTGCACTGTTCGTAGTATAATAAAGTCACTTTTTACAACAGTTAGTGAGTGATTATTATTAAAATGTAGATTGATATACGACGATTGTAGTACTTGGCAGAAAGCGAAGTGCAAAACCAATCAAAACACTTCAATACGAGCAAAAATGAATGCTACTTTACGCACGAAAAAAACAACACTTAATAGTAGCAGCACGTCGATAGAAACAGCAATTAGTGTAATACGAAGAGTGCAAAAGTTTTGAGTCTCGTCTCAGTTCCAGACTGGAGAGCGGCAAAACGTCTCGTCGCGCGCACTGACACACGCGCGCAGCCAGGTGCGAAGCGGCGTCTGCGGGCGTCGTCGGCGTCGTCGTCGGCGACGGCGGGCGTCCGGAGGCGACGCAGGCGCCCTCACGCGGCAGCTTCCCCGGCGACGCGCGCATGGGGGCGCGGACGGGCGCGGTTTTCCGTAACTGCGACGCGGGCCCGGCGTCGCCGGGCGCGCTGCGCCCCGCCGCGCGCGGGCCGCGGAGCGCATGCGCGCCCGGGGAGAAGCGGAAGGCGCGGCGGCGGCCGGCGGGCGGAGCGGAGCCCGGTCGCTGGAGGAGGACGGCAGGGCGAGGACGAGGTGGAGGAGGAGGAGAGGAGGAGGAGGAAGAGGGGGGAGGAGGAAAGGAGGTGACGTCGCGGTCGCCCTTGGCATCGACGCGCGTGGGAGGGTGTGGGTTAGAGGGTGCGGAAATGCAGGCTCTGGAAGGGACAGCATCTGCTCGCGCGGACGATGTAGGGTAAATTGTAGGCACACGGATTCACTCCTACTACGTAAAACTATTTTTTGGGCATCCTGTCGGATAAGGCGTAGTGTATTGAAAGGTGCCAGTTATATTTTGGAGTTTAGACGATGTTTGTAATTCTTACTGTACAACCACAAGGATAAGGAAGAAGGGGAAGAAGTGAAGGAAGAGATTGAAGAATACGGAGATAAAGCAAAGGAGTAAAAAGAGGTAGAAGTAAAGATGAGAAAGACGAAGAAGAGGAGTAGGAAGGACGAGAAGTATGGAGAAGGAATAAATGGAGAAGGAGGAAGAGGTGGAGGAGAAAGAAGAGATAGAGGAGGAGGTGGAGAGGAAGGAAAAGTGGACAAGCAATAAAAGTAAGAGGACGAAGAATACAGTTATGGAGAGCAAGTGCAGTAATAAGGAGGAAGATAAAAGGGAGGGAGAAGAGTAAGAGTAAGAAAAGGAGGACAAAACGGATGTAGTGGAAAAGGAAGAAGTGTAGGAGGAAGAAGAGGAGGAGGAGACGGAGGAAGAAGATGGGGAGAAGAAAGATACGGAGCAGGAGGAAACGGTGGAGGAGGAAGAAGAGGAGGAGAAAAAGGAGGTGAATCGCCCGTGAACATTGACGCGCCTGGCAAGGTCAGCCCAAATGCAGGTCCTGGAAGGGACATCATCTGTTCGCGCAGACGATGTAGAGTGAATTGTAGGTTCATTCCTACAACGTAAATCCATATTTTCAGATTACTGAGATAAATTACACGGTCTTTCAGAAGTTGTCTCTACTACAGTTGACATTTCATATAGCTTCTTCGGCTGATGCTAGTTATTTTCTCTATTCACGAGAAGCAAATCCGGATAATTACATTTAGGCGTAACTGAAGTTTTGTATTTGCGTCAAGTTCATAGATCAAGTCGGAAAAGTTGTTTAATTACTTAATAAGGTATAATATAATAAGATATTATATAATAAGGAAATATATAAGGAATATAAATTTCTATTAAAGTATTTGTTCTGGCATTCTTCAACATAACATCGTTGTATTTTTATTTCCAAAGGCAATATAGTATTCCTACATTTGTTCACAAAGATTAAGACGATTCATCATCTCAATAAATACAAAAATGTCCAACAAAGAAGTTCATTTCTTCGACGAAATTATTCTCTGATTCATTAGTTTTATGAAACATCTCATTTCTATATCCCAATACCATTAAAAGAATTCAGTTTTCCTAAATGATGAGATATAGAGAATAATTCAAATTATTTGCGTCAAGAATGTATTTCGTATACTATAACTTGTACTATATAACTTGGTAGGTTTGTCAGAAAGATTAAAGCAAAGCATTGCCAATTAGTTTACTTTTGTCGTATTGAATAGAATGAAAAAGTAAACTTAAAACTATCACAATTTCGAGTACAGAAAAGAGAACATATTTTGAAATATTGGAATGTTCTTTGCTAGTGAACATGAAAGAATAAGCTTAACATTTCGCTAACGCTTGAGGCATTTACAGTGGATTGTTGTTATTACTTGTCGTTTCATTTAAATAGTGTAAAAATAATACAGATGTAACTCTATATAAAGAACTTATTTTAAGGGAAAAACACGTAAAATAGATATTCTTTGAGTTTGATTGGTTTACCTTATAACCCACACATTGATTCTCTCTACTAGATCTGATTTTCTATGAAAACGTTGCCTGGAGCGTCCTGTCACCAAAGTCTGTAGTTTGTGGAATATAACTGTAAGAATGATAAAATAACAAATTTAACTCGTGGAATTCTTAAAGTAAAAAAATAAATACACTGCAGAAAGACATTTTAGATGAATATATTTTTGCTTTTGAGCATTCAAAATGTTAAAGTAGTCATGTTCCCTAGCGTATCCCTAGAAACACTTCTATCTTCATATTATAATGAAAATTTTATAAGGAATGTATTCGTTCCCTGGGTTTCGATATAAACAGTTTAAACTGAATAACGGATCGTACAATGAAACTCGAACAACAAAAATAGAGTAAATAATGCCGGGAAAATTATGAGCTACCCCCAAAGGTTTGAGGAATGCTTCACGTCCCAACTTGCACCGTTGTGTGAAGGTCATTTCTCGGGTTTCTGTAGCGAAAGAAATATTACTCCTCTTCGGAAATGTTTCGTCGCGCTAAGAGAAGACCTTGACGTCACTGGGTTCCTCCCCACTCCCGTCAGATGTTCGGCCCGTCTTCGTCGAAGGAATGGGCGATTCTGGTAAAGAAATTTTACTTAAGGATCGAATTGTAAATAAATATTACGATAACAATCAATCCTCTATTAGACGAGAAATACAAAATAATATTTTTTCAATAAAAAATAACTGTGAAATTAATCTTCTTTAACGTGTCTCTTGAGATTCAGTTTTTATGTTACCCCGTATATTTTCAATTCATATAAATCTGCATATATATGCTTGTGTTTTATTTGTACAAAAGAATTATCTACGGCCATTTAATAATATACGTATTTTTGCTGTATGTTAATCGATGAATGACATCGATTACACACCCCGTGGATTGCTGTTTTGAATCCTTGTGTTTGGAATCCACGGGCAGAATTGCAATCTCTTTGCAATTAACAATACCGTTTTTAAATACTAATCGCAGATCGCGGGTGACCCAAAAGGACAAATGGGGTCAAGTGGGATAAAGCGGGAAAAGTAGGAAGAGGACAAGGGGAACACAATCGGACAATAGAGACAAAATAGACACAATTGGAAAAGGTGGTAAAAGGACTAAAACGGGGAAAGGGATACAAATTAGACAATTAGAAAAAGGGACAAACGGACAAAATAGGGAAATGGGACAAGGGGACAAAATGGAATATTGCAACAAAGTGAGACAATATGGGAAAAAACGACGAACTGGGATAAGGGGACAAAATCGGACACTGTAACCAATGGAACAAGGGGACAACCGACACAAGAGGACAAATGAGACAAGGGAACAAAATGGGACAAGAGGACAAAAAGGGGACAAGATGGACGTCGGCACAAACGGGACAAGAGGATAAAAGAGGAAAACTGGAAAGGGAGACAAACGGGACAAGTGGAACTAAAGGGTCATGGGAAAAATGGACGTGATGAGAAAAAAGGAGAAGGTCCAAGGACAAGAGGGACATATTTATCTAATTATTTATGAACAGTGGTAAAATCCAAACTTGAAAGTCCGCTAAATATATTTAATGAACTATCGAACATTTTAACGGTGTTTGCTATGGATGCGCTCTTAAAGCGTTGGATGGTTGATTGCTAAGGAGCTAAGAGTGTGTTTTCCGACGTAAATAATAAAAAATCTATCAAAAATCTATTCTGAAAATTTTAAGGTTGAATAGAAAGTATAGTCTTCTACTCGCGCATAATATCTGTTATTCGCTCCTAGAAATTCTGATACATGCTCTTACGTCGCTCGTGTCGTAAACAAAAAATTCGTAACTCAACCCTTAAAAAATACCTATTATCATGCGCTCGTACTATTAAATATTGTTTAGACGTTTTTATGTATCGGCGAATTAATCTGAAAATAAAAGTTTTCTAAATGTAAATTCAAGGTAACCTTATTTGAACTTCATTAATTATATTCATGTGTTAAATAACGTTGAACTTTGCTGTTCTTCATTAACATTAAACGATTAGACAATTTAGATTAATCAACCATTAAATGATTTATTTAAAACACCTTACAAAAATGAACCTATTTTAAATAAGGTATCATTTTATTCATAAATCTGCAAACCTCGCACCGGTAATGCATCAGAAGGGGCAAAAGTTAATGATTAATCGATTATTTAAGAAATAAATTCTTGATTAATCGAATCGTCCCCAATCCATACTCTACTTCCTCAGTAGTTCTTGCCGAGGGTTCTTCGTGTTAATGGTGCATTTCATAAGTGATGGTGCTGTTAAATAGTTTTTAAAAATAACTGTCGCCCAGGATATACTATTAAGTGTCAATAGGTCTCACTTCCTGAAAGAATGAAGAAAGATTTTTAAAAAAAGGAATAGCACTATTGGTGAAAAGTTAATTAGTGCTTGTGGGATCAGTTCTTTTTAGTAGAATACAGAGAGGAGTTGTGCCTGGTTTGTAAATGAGCTTTCGAACACATCTTACAATACTTATTCGTAAATAATAATAAACGCCCCATCGTATGGCTCATA